GTCTGGAGCACACAACATCAATGTACCTTAAATATTCTTGTTATTCTGTGTTGTCATGTCAAGAGTAGCCTCTGGGATAGCTAAACTCAAAAGAGGAGGAAGAAAATGAACACTGTAATTGCAAACAAATGCAACGGGTGCCTTCTCAGCTCTCTAGGGATGACATAGTGGAAAATGGGAAAGTTCCTGCAAGTTGGCCAGTCTCTGAGATCAGTGAGGACACAGTGGTGTAACTAACATTCTGTGCAATTCTTACTGGAAACATAAAATCTTGGGACCAGCACTTAGTGTAATGGTCATGTCGCTAGACTCCCATGTAGTCAACCGCAGTTCAAGTCCTAGACCTGGTGGCTTAAACTCACTCCAGGCATGTGTGCATGCATGCCCTAGATCCTGAGAAAAGAAGAGAGAAAGAAAGAAAAAAAAAAAAAGAGGAGAGAAAGGATTACGGCGTGGACATCCCCCTTGGTGTGTGTGGGGGGGTGATTTCTCGCTTTCTTTCTCTCTGTCTCTGTCTTTCTGGTGAGCACACATGCCCTGTGGCAAAAATTTCTCGAAGGAAGGAAGGAAGGAAGGAAGGAAGGAAGGAAGGAAGGAAGGAAAGAAGGAAGAAGGAAAGATGGAAGGAAGGAAGAAAGTCTTTTGGAATGGAGGAGATAAAGACTTTTATTCATGCCAGGTTGCATCTGTGACCTTCCTTGAAAATAAGGAAATGCGGGAACCAGCAGTTAGCGTAATGGCTATGTCGCTGGACTCCCACGTAGTTGACCGCGGTTCGAGTCCCGGACCCGGTGGCTTAAAAACTCATGCCGGGCGCGTGTGCGTGCGTGCCCAAGATCCCGAGAGGAGAATGGAGGAGAAGGGGTTGTGGCGTGACCATCCCCCCTGGGGGGTGATTTCTCGCTTTCTGTCTCTCTGTCTCTCTCTGTCTGTCTGGCGAGCGCACGTGCCCTACAGTGAAAAATCTCTCCAAAAAAAAATAAATAAATAAGGAAATGCTGACTGATGGCTGATAAATACCACATACTGGCAATTGTTTATATTATATAGTTCTTTTGTTTTTAGAGAGGATGATTCTAAATATATCCCATCAGAGGTAAAAGTTAAATTTTCCGGCTTGGACTGTAACTGCACTCATTTATTCCACCTGTTTACTTAGAGACTGACTGAATCTTTCAAGTATGCTCAGGCTAGCCAGGAGGCATGGTAGTAAGGTGGTTGGATCCCACACGGCCGACTGTGTGGTGTGAGTCCTGGACCCAACGGCCTGAAAAACATGCTGGGCACATGTGCGTAGTTGCCCAAAACCCGAAGAGAATGGAGGAGAAGGGATGGAGGGTGGTCATCCTCCTCCCGGGGGATTCTGTCTCAGTTTCTTTCTCCTTCTCTTTTTCTGGTGGTTTCACATGCCCTATAGCAAACTTTAAAAATTAAACATAGATTTTTTAAATATTTTAAATATGTTTCAAAACATGACATTTAATATATGAAAACTACTATTAGGCTCAATATTACAATATCTGGACAAATCTAACACACCAAATTAAGAATATTTGTGGGGCCAGCTGGTGGCATGGTGATTGGAGCACTAGATCCCCTCATGGTCGATGGCAGTTTGAGTCCCGGACATGGTGGCTTGCTTTCTCACTTTTTCTTTCTCTCTCTATCTCTGATCAAATCGAACAAATAATAATAATAAATACAGTGGTTGAGAGGGAAGGAATGGGGGAGGGGAGAAGTAAAATATATAAAAAAATAAATAATAATAATAAATCAAATAAAATAATTCTTTTAAAAAAGAATATTTGCAAATACTACTGTTCAAAGGAGCCAGCGGGTGGTGTGGTGGTTGAAGGAGCTGGACTCCCACATGGCTAAGAACAGTTCGAGTCCTGCACTTGGCAGCGTGCTTCCTCATTTTCTCTCTCTCTCTCTGGTCACATTGAAAAATAAGAATAATGATAATAAATATATAATTCTTAAAGAAAAACTACTGTTTAAAACTAAATTTAAAATTCACTTATTAGGGGAACCAGCAGTTAACGTAATGGCTATGTCGCTGGACTCCCACGTGGTCGACCGCAGTTCGTGTCCCGGACCCGGTGGCTTAAAACTCACGCCGGGCGCGTGTGCGTGCATGCCCAAGATCCCGAGAGGAGAATGGAGGAGAAGGGATTGAGGCGTGACCATCCCCCAGGGGGGTGATTTCTCGCTTTCTGTCTCTATGTCTCTCTCTGTCTGTCTGGCGAGCGCACGCGCCCTACAGTGAAAATCTCTCAAAAAAAAAAAAAATTCACTTATTAGCAATTGTCTACCATATTTTAATACTGAAATTACAATTTTTTTTTTTTTTTTAGAGGGGTTTTTGCTATAGGGCACATGTGCTCACCAGAAAGACAGAGAGAGACAGAGAGAGAGAAAGCGAGAAATCACCCCCCCCTGGCCACACTGCAATCCCTTCTCCTCCATTCTCCTCTCGGGATCTTGGGCACATGCACACATGCCTGGCGTGAGTTTAAGCCACTAGGTCCGAGAGGCGAACCGCGGTCGACTACATGGGAATCCAGTGACATAGCCATTACTCTAACTGCTATTCCCACTGACATTACAATTCTAACCACTACCATTCCACGCCCTTACTTCAGTAATGTTCCCATGATTACACTGATACAGAACGGCACTACCTTTAGCTCATGGCTCATTCTAATTACTGACTACTATAAATTGTTTGTATCAAGCATAAAATATCTGGGGAAGGATTAGATTAGTCCTACATTTAAAAAAATTAATAATAACCTTTTGTTACATAAGTGTAAACATTAAATCCTAAGTTAGTAGAGCAAATAAATTGCTTCCAGAAAATTCTGATCCCTATATTCTTATATTATTGGGTCACTGGGAAAGTCATGATGCATTTCTCATAGAAAAACCTAGAAAAACGCATCATAGCTTTTCTGACAAACGAATAGTATATAAACCTCAGATGAAATGCACGACAACCGAATAGTATATAAACCTCAGATGAAATGCACAAATCGCGATATGGTATACACACCACAAAACATTCCTGTTCACAAATATCCAGTCAAGTATGAAGGGAATATGTAACACTGAGTTGTCAGAAATGCCATAATGTGTTTTTCTGCTTTCTCTGCAAATATGCATCATGGCTTTTCCGATAAGCCAATCTATGCGATATAATATAGCCAATATATGATGTCTCTTTCTCCAATAGAAATAATGTTAAAATTGAATGGCATGTTCTGAGAATCTAGACTCCCTCACTCTCCATAAAAGTCTCCCTCAACTATAATTAGCTCTTTGTTCTGCTTTATGAATATGTATATGCAAAAATTAAACTTTCTAAAGAATCTCTAAATGCATTTGAAAAGAAAATACAGTAGTAATGCATATAAAAGGCCTAGAAAACTAGAGCTCTGTCTAAAAGAATCCCAAAGCCAGAAAGATCATCAAACAGAAAACAGTTGAGGGTCAGAAAGACTCTTCAGAGGTAATCGTAATCAGGCAAGATGGCTAGAGGAGGCAAGAATCAGGAAGCTGCCCGGGGAACCTCTCAGAAAAGGAATCAATGCAAGGCTCAGTAAAAGTCTAACCAGGGGCCAGCAGGTGGCGTGGGGGTAAGGCGGTGGACTCCCATATGGCCAATCACAGTTTGAGCCCCAAACCCGGTGGCTCAAACTTCACACTGGGCACATGTGCATGCAGGTCCAAAATCCCAAGAGGAGAAGGAGGAAGAGGGGGTTGTGATGTGGCTGTTCCCCCAGGGGGTGATTTCTCACTTTCCCTCTTTCTGGATCTCTTTGTCTCTCTCCTGGCAAGCACACCCATCCAATGGAAAAACCTAAAAAGAATTAAAAATTAAAATCTAACCAAATTATGTGACACAGTGCACTGTTGAGTTTGTTATTAAGTTGTAATCTCAACAAAAATTCTAAATACATATAATGACTGAAATATACAACATGCACATTTAATATGAGAATTCTGTTAAATTTATACCACCAAGTGTCTTTTTCCCAAGATATTTATGTATATTGATGTATGTGCTTTGAACATATTTTTTTCTCTTCACTCATGCTAGAAAGCGTGCGTGTACACGTGAGAGACAGTAAAAGGAAAGGTTCAGCGCCCTCCACAAGGTTCGGTCCCGCCACGATGCCCTTCCTCCTTCTTCCTGCCCAACAGCCCTTGGCTCCCACGTGTGCCAGGTAAGTTTCAGGCTGACTGCGACAGGACTTTGGACCAGAGTCACCAGGTGGGATCAGGCTTCTCCTGAGAAACATTATCACTGCACCCTGGAGGAGGCCCTGATATGCATGGATTTGCAAGGAAGAAGGAAAAGCTCATTCTAAAATGCAAGTTTTGAGAATTATTAATTTTTTTAAGTTAAAATTGCACCGAAGGTCACACATCATAGATTGAATCTGATTTTTCACATTACCGTACTGTGTTCCAGGACCTCGTGGCTTACTGGAAATGACTGACCTCCACAGTATGGGAGATCGCTTTGACTCAAAAGCCAGTTTGATTCGACACTTTTTTTTTCTTTTTGAGAGGTTTTTGCTATAGGGCGCGTGCGCTCACCAGACAGACAGAGAGAGACAGAGAGACAGAAAGCAGGAAATCACCTCCCAGGGTGGATGACCACGCCGCAATCCCTTCTCCTCCATTCTCCTCTCGGGATCTTGGGCACGCACACACACGCGCCCGACGTGAGTTTTAAGCCACCGGGTCCGGGACTCGAACCGTGGTCGACTACATGGGAGTCCAGTGACATAGCCATTATGCTAACTGCTGGTCCCCTGATTCGGCACTTTTAATTCCTCATGGCTCAAGGCTGATACATTTCAAAACCTGTCCATATTAGTCAACTCTCTTCCTTATCTCTCTCCCAACAAAACTCACGATGTTATACTCGCTTTATGTTGCACAAAGCTCTTGACCCATGCAGAACAGAGGTAGCTTACAACAAGCAGTGTGCCCACTATTTTTCTGCCACTGTTCAAACTTAGCTTATTTGACGACTCTGCTCTTTCTAGTTAGCCCAGGGAGACAGGAAGGATGGCTGGCATCATGGTGTGGGGATGAAACCTAGAAGACACAGACTAGAAGCATTACATACAAAGTGGTCTTTCAAACATCCATGGAAAATGTATATTATGAAAAAAGCATGCATGGGTTTCAAAAACACTTTGCATTAACATAAACTTGCACTTCAGTTCCATTTTTCCAAGCCCTTTCTTAAGTCCTCTCTGTATGCCAACACTGTCATAAAACAAAGAGTCAGTAAGTCAAAACTGTCTTAGAAATCAGTTTTCAACTGTGAATATGATGAATAAAGATCAAAAACAAAGGATGAAGCTTCACTTAGCAAAACCCAATACTCAATAGCCTTTTAGCAAGCTGTCATTGGACAGATCCAAATTTCCCAGAAAAATAAAAATACTAAGTGGAGACAGCGAATAGAAATTAGTTTTCAAATATTCTGCATACAAAGATAACACCTACTACTGAAGATGAACAGGACCATGAAATGAGCAAGTTT